GTCATGCCAGAGTCTGCTCTGAGCTTATGTGAAACGCAAAAGGAGTTTGTGACTGCCCAACAAGCTGACTCTTCTCTGGAGCAAGAGAGGGTTGCAGCTGAGAATAATGCCCCAGCCGGGGAAGGAAAAGGTAGGTTTTTATTTATTTATTTATTTGTAGCAGGTTTGTTGTCTAGAGAGGCTCCTAGAGGTGTCCTGGTGAGGTTTGCAAGCAGGTAGTTGTGCCTGAGAAATACAGGAGAGCATTGCTCCAAGTAGCTCATGATTGTCCATTCGCAGGACATTTAAGAGTGGAAAAAACCGGTGACAGACTGAAACAGAATTCCTATTGGCCTTGCATGTTTGAGACAGTAAAAGATTACTGGAAGAGTTATGACTTTAGTCAGAAGCGTAAGGGATTAAAGGGACCTTGCAAAGCACCACTGCAGCCTTTGCTCATTATTAAAGAGGCATTTGCTAGGGTGTCTGTAGATATTGTGGGACCTCTCACTAAACCTTCCAGGACTGGATAGAGATATATACTTTCTTCCAGGTACCCTGAAGCCACAGCCTCGTCTAATATTGAAAATGAAACCATGGCTACAGCTTTATTCACCATTTTCAACAGAGTAGGTTTTCCCAGAGAACTCTTGACAGACTGTGGTGCAAATTTTATCTGTAGTCTTTAAAAAGTTCTGGGAATTATGTGGAGTGAAGCATATAAAGGCTGCTCCCCATCACCCAGAAACTAATGGGCTTGTGCAAAGATTACATGGAACTTTAAAGGCTATGGTAAGAATATATGTCTCCTGGAGTGAGAATGACTGGGACATGTTACTTCCTTATTTTCTATGTGCGTACAGAAGTATTCCCCACCAGTCTACTGGCTTTGCCCCCTTTGATCTGTTGTATGAGATGCAAGTGAGGGGACCCCTAGATTTGATCTGAGGCTCTTGAGTGGGCAGTATTGAGGAAGCAGGACAGCTGGTAGGGGACTATGTCATTCGTATTAAGTTTGGTATGATCAGCGTACTGAAGAAAGATCATTTGATATTGGTGTTAGTTCTGATCCATGTAAGGAAAAACAAAATGCAGGATTCTTGGGAAGAACCTTTTGAGGTGATTGAAAGAGTGAATAAAGTTACATGATGTAAGGAAGCCCAATGGCAGAGGAGCTGTCCAAACCATGCAAATCAATAGTTTAAAAGCTTACCTTGAAAGGGAGATGGCAGAAAACATGATTTGTTATCCTTATGAGGAAACATTCTCCACCCCTTTAATTGATTTGGTCAAAGAGAACAGGGAAGAAACTCCTCTGGGAAGCATTGAGTTTGGGGAGGGTTTAAATCCTACCCAAAAGCAAGAAATGCTGGCCCTTTTAAAGCACCACAAACAGGTATTTTACTAACAAGATTGTACACTCTGTTCAAACCTCAGGGCCCCACCCAGCATCTAGCAGAGCATATTGGGCTAAAGGGGAAATGCAGAAGCAAATCCAGGAGGAGGTAGAGAGCATGCTTGAAATGGGGGTAATCACTAAGTCAAAAAGCCCCTTGGCATCTCCTATTGTAATGGTAGCTAAAAAGTACAAAACCATGAGATTTTGTGTGGATTACAGGAAACTAAATGCTATAACCCACGCTGGACCTTACTCCGCACCCCAAATAGAGGACTTATTGGACCTTTTGGGGGATGCTAAGGGAACCAATTCTAAATTACTTTGTTGGAGTCTAGCCCTACAGGAATTTGACGGAAATAATTCATATCAAGTGAAAGGAGAATGTAGTGGCTGATGCTTTATTGAGAAAAATGTCAGTGTATCCCTTCATACACCAGTTTTGTGTTGTGAGTGTGATGCTGGCAGACCAGGTGCCAGCTCATGCTGAAGCCCCAGGCTAATTCACTTGTGTATTAGTATAGATCAAAGTGATTGTTAAATATATAAGAATGTAGTTGGTGTTTAAACTTCATGAAAACTAATGGGACGTTACCTGCATTATTTTCACTTATCTGTATCCTGTTATAATGTAGTAGTGTTATGCTTCTAAGAAGCACACAGGATCTTTTTCAGGGGAAAAGGCAATATGCCGTGTTTATTGAAGATACAACAATTAGCATATGCATTCAATCACACCACACACACACACTGTCTCTCCAGTCGATGTTATAGTTACCAATCCAGAGTCCAGATCAACCTAGTGGCCACTGTAGGGAGGAGCCGGGTTCCGTCAGTTGTGACACGATGCTCCGGGGAAGTCTTGGCAGGACAAACCCAAAGTTTCATGGCAAGGCACCCTGTTTATATAGTGATTTTCCTTCATTGGGACCAATGAGTTTTGCTCCATCATGCTGTAATCAATTGTTGTTTGATGAGTGCTTGTTTTCTTAAATTGTCCTTCTCATACTTTATCATCCTCACCCATAGCTTGAAGAAGGCTGACCGAGATGTAAGCATACACAGCTTCTGATGGATAAAATATTCTCCATACCACAACCGTAACACTGCCCCCTAGAGATGCCAGCCTCCCATGGTCCTCTTTAACTGCCCTCCTGCAGGTACCCCTTTACCAAATTATTTCCCCCAACACTAGTAGTTCTGATTTAGCAAATGGATGTGTGCAGACGGGTGAAAGGGTGCAGAGTTCAGATTGCGGTGAGGTTTGTGGGTATGGTAGTTGCAGTAATGATAAGGGGTGAGCTCATAGATGGAAGAGTAGAAGGATATGCCTTGTTGGGTGGCTTAACTTTTCACTTTCCTTGCTTTTCTGGGTTTGTGTTGGGAATGTTTTGTATAGAATCATAGAAATATAAAGCTGGAAGGGACCTCAAGAGATCATCTAGTCCATTAGTTCTCAAAGCCGGTCCGTTGCTTGTTCAGGAAAAGCCCCTGGCAGGCCGGGCCAGTTTGTTTACCTGCCGCATCCGCAGGTTCGGCCAATTGCGGCTCCCATTGGCCATGGTTCACCGCTCCAGGCCAATGGGGGCTGCGGGAAGGGAGGCCAGCACATCCCTCGGCCTGTGCCGCTTCCCGCAGCTTCCATTGGCCTGGAGCAGTGAACCGCAGCCAGTGGGAGCCGCGATCGGCCAAATCTGCGGACACGGCAGATAAACAAACCGGCCCGCCCCGCCAGGGGCTTTCCCTGAACAAGCGGCGGACCGGCTTTGAGAACCATTGATCTAGTCCTTCCCCTTGCGCTAAGGCATCTATGTAGCAACCTTCACTGCTTCACAATGAAGATTTTTGCGTATTAGTTTCCATGGGTTTTTTAAGGCTTAATTGGTCATGGAGTTGGCTAAGTGGGGTACAGAAATTCAAGTGCTGATGGAGAATATTTTACCCATCAACCGCTGCACATGCACCCTCATCTACCAACAGCTGTCCATGTATCCTTTCCTGCTCTAGAATAAAATAATACAGAAAAGTGCAGAAGGCTTAATATATGCCCTGCCCCGCCATCAAGTATATATGCACCCAGCCTCAATAATCAAGTTGGTATGCACAGCACATGAACTTTCTGTTTAGTATGAACACTGACTTTCAATTACCCTGCCCCTAACATTTATAAACAACCCCAAACTACTTATTGCACCAGATCTACTCAAGCTCACCTCTCTACCAAGTGTTGTGCAGTCATTAGACAATGATTTTTAGGAGACATTGGACTTCCAGTAACTCAGCCAGATGTTAGGGGTCTATTATAGGAGTGGGTGGGTGAGGTTCTGTGGCCTGCCATGTGCAGGAGGTCAGACTAAATGTTCATGATGATCCCTTCTGATCTTAAAGTTTGAGTCTATAAACAAAAGTAGGACTGCCAAGAACAAATTCCAGACCGAGGCCAAATTCAGAGACTTCCTGTTAAATAGTTTTGAAGAGAAACTACACAAAAACCATGTAGAAAATTCAAAGGGCATAAAAATGAATGTTGTGTGAAACTTTGCACTGACTGGCCATCTATTTTTAGAAGGCCAGCAATTCATACCCATTTTAAGCTCATTTTAAATGTAACACCTTACTATAGATTCTCAGGTAGACACCACCACAATATAAATAATAAATATTAACAGTAATCAAGTGGAACTGGAATTGCTGCAAATTGCTACTTAGCTAGTAGAATTTTGGGGTAAAAAAAACTTGCAGGATCCAGGTGCTAGATTGGTGATCTTGTGATATTGCCATGTCTGTTTGCAATAAGGTCTGGAATTTTTTTGATGTGTTAGGAGCTGGTGCACTGTGGATCTATTTATAGAGTAGAATGTAGGATACTGCAGTTAAAAATTAGCAAGATCCACGAAGATCCATGTCCCAATCTGGGTCCTTGCGTCACTAGGACATGCTGGTGTCCAGAACTTCATAATGAAGTAGGAGCAGTTGGTTTGTTCTGTATTCAGACAATAGAATTTGGGGGTCGGAGCACAAAAGTCTGCAAGATCCAGCAGGATCCCAGAGCAGGTCTCTGTGGCATCAAGATGCTGGAAAGTTAGAATCCTCTAGTCTAGAATTTTTGTGTGTGCCCTAATAGGGGTTGGATGTGTTTTGTAGTTAGGTTATGAGATTTGGGGGCTTTGGTGAAAATGGGGAAGAGTCCACCAAGACTTCATGTCCCAGATCCAGGCCTGTGTAGTGCTATTGTGCTGGGACACATGGGGGTCTGGAATTTTTTGGTGCACTAGAATGGGGTGGATTTCTTGTGAATTTAGGCTGTTGTGTTTGGGGGCAGGAGTGCCATACTCCATGTCCTGGATCCAGGTTTTTGCAGTGCTGAGGTCCTGACATTTTGGTGCAGTAGGAATGATTGCATGTGTTCTATACTTGGGAGGCGGAATTTGGGGGTTCAAGCCCAACCACCAACAGGCTCCATTTCCTAGATCCAGATCTTTGTGGCACGAGGGCACACGGGGGTGGGGAGGACTGTCCAGATTATTTTAGTGCAGTAGGAAAGGGTTGGACGTGTTTTGTATTTAAGCGGTGGAATTTGGGGAGGGTTGGCTGCAAGAATCTGGCAGGATCCATGTAGATCCGGCTTTTCCCTTTTTCCTCAGCCCCCCGTGGAAACGGTGCATAAAGAGAGAGCCCCGCGCCTCAGCCGGGGAGGCAAGCAGCGAGCAGACTGAGCCGCTCTGAGCTCTGCTGTTTTTCCTAGAAACGGATCCGTGCACCTAGAAAATAACAGGAAGGGAAAGCAGGGAGAGAAAAAAACACACGAAGATCCTGTTGTTTTCGGTCGCTGCCCGAGGAATAATTTGGAGGAGAAGGATCCATATTTCTGCTGCTGCCGAGGCTGCGGCGCCGGGGATGGAGCGCGGGGCGCGGGCCGTGTAGCGGGCTCGCCCAGGGGCTGCCTTTCGGCCAGGCTCGCTCCGCCCGCGGGGGGATTCCGGCCTCGGCCCCGGCCCGGGCGCTGCCCCGCCGGCAGTGGGATCCCAGCAATTGGGGGCCGGTGGGGCTGAGTCCAAGGCCTCCCCCTCCCCCGCTACACACACGCCCCCCACCTCTGCCGCCGCCGCCGGGGACAGAGGCTGGTGCCTGGGGCCCGACCCTGCTGCGGCTGCCGCTGCCTGTGCCTGGGCGGATCGCACCCCGCGAGGGGCGGCTGGGTGCAGGGGGCGCGGGGCAGGCGGAGGAGGGAAGCTCCCGATGTCGCGTCCGAGGCCCCGAGAGTACAAGGCTGGAGACCTGGTGTTCGCCAAGATGAAAGGCTACCCGCACTGGCCGGCCCGGGTGAGTGCGGACCAGGGCTGGGTGGGGGGCAATGCAGGGAGCCCGATGCCCCCCCCCAGCGCAGCGCCCGGCCCGACCATTTCCCCGCTGCTTCTCCTCTGCCTCTCCTGGGGCGTGTGGCGGCTGTTGCTGGGTCCATTGCAAGCCCAGCCGCAGACACAGCCCCACCCCCCCAGCCCTCCATGCCTACCCCTGCGGGGAGCCTAGCGCTGGGGGGAGACAGGGGGTCTGTTCCCCGCTGGATTATTGAGCATCTTTGCTTGGTTGTGCAGATTTCTCCGCGGGAGAAGGAGGGGGCGTGCGGGGATTGTACCTGAATTATTATTATGGGGAGTTGGCAGCTCTGCATGATAATGATGCTATTTATTATGCGCCCTCCCCTCTCACTGCCCCCCCACCCTCAGTAGCGAGGGCTCCCGCCAGCCTTCCCACATGCACATTTCTAGGCAGTTGCAGAAAAGCTGCCTTTGCCCACAATATGAAGCCACAGAGGGAGAGAAAGAGACAAACAGGCATAGCCATCAGAAGGCCAGATCTGTGTCTCTCTCAGCCCAGGAAGTGTCTACTGCATGGGAAACACACATGGGAGGAGAGCAAGGCCTAGAATGTAGGCAACAACTCTTTGCAGGGTGCCTGATGCACAGAATACACCATATTTGGGGCTGCAGTGGGCGGAGGAGGCATGGTCTACTACAAAGAGATAAGTGATAAACATGGACACAGTCCTGAGGGATGCAAGTTATTAATTGAGAGGAGGAGTTGGACTACATGGCCTCCATTTTTCCATGTACCCTTCCAAATGCAGGCACATTGGGTTTCACTGGGGGGCTGATCATGTGGAGAAGTTCTGGGCTTGTGAGACAGTGGCTGGTTTTATTTCGTGGTGGTTTGGGATTGTGGATTTTTTATATTATTATTGTTCCTTTCCCATCTTTGATTTTAAACTGGTTTGAAATAACTGAGTTGGGAAAGCATCATGGGCATTTGGCAACCAAATCAGCATCCCACTGTATATTTAATGTCCATATTCCTTAGAGCCCCAAAACAGAGCAAGGCATTCCCAGGGACCACCTGATACCACAGCATACTTACAGCCTTCTCTTTCCCCTTTTTTGTTCACCACGGTGTACTTTGTTGTGTGATCTACCCAGCAGGCATCATCCAGTGTCAGTCTGTGTTTATTCATTGTCCATTCCATCCTCCGGGCGGAAATTACAACTATTCAGTGCTACATTCTGTTTTCATTCACAAGTAAAAGAAAGTTGTTGGTGTTTATGATCTGTGAGAGCTTGAACATTATAAAGTGTTGTACACATTGTGTAAGAAAGTACAGGAGAGCAGGGTCAAGGTACCATGGACTTTACCATTACTCTTGAGAAAGCAATGAGAAAAGGGTATGTGTAAGTGGTGAAAAGTGAAGCACGGGGCATCGTGAGTGTGACTGAGAGTGTGAGTGTTGAGCTGCAGACACAGTACAAGGAGGGAAAACCAGTATCAGAGGCTTAAATGAAGGTTGATAGAGAAGGGAAAAATCAGAGGATGCTAAATATTAAAGGGAACAGAAATAAGGAAACACGCCCAATTGCTTTGGCAGAGCAGGCTGAAATTCATTTCTGAATAGGCATAAGAACATGGAACATAAGAATGGCCAGACTGGGTCAGACCAAAGGTCCCTCTAGACCAATATCCTGGCTTCTGATAGTGGCTAGTGCCAGGTGCTTCAGAGGGAATGGACAGAACAGGTAATTATCAAGTGATCCATGTCTAAACTTCACATTGTATTTGTAATTAATGTCTCTGATCAGCATTTATATTCTTATATCTGCTTGTGATGGCCAACATCATGTTAAAGGTGATGAGTCACATCAGTAGAACGATGGAGTCTATTGTAAATCAATTTCTTTCTTACATCAATAATGGTTCAATTTAATCTGAAAATGGATCAGCAAGTGACTTTAATAACTCAGATCATTCCAGCTTTGGGATTGATCCTGCTCCCATTGAAGTCAATGGCAAAACTCCTGTTGACTTTACTAAGAAAAGCACTACTCTTCTCCTCACTTGCATGCAACAACATTCTCCTCCGATTGCAGTGAATACTAGCCCTGTGGCCTTGTCCTCTTGAGTAAAAAGGGAGTGTTGTTAACTCATGTTAGCTAACATATGGTAACTAATTGAAGTAAATGGAAAATAGGATTGGGCTCTTTGTTTCAGCAAACTTTTCTTTATTTTTTATCATACACTGAGCGCAGATGGGCACATCTTTGATTATGTGTCCAGCTGGCTAGTCAAAGGTATGTTCCTCAGGATACAGGTTCCTCAGGAAAAAAGGTGTGTTGTTAAATTGCGGTGTTAGGTGAAGACCCCAGTGAAGACAAAGTCATCCACAGTTTTAACATGAGGTTTTGCAGGTTGAGGTAAAGGCTGTGAGACTGCTTTGTCTTCAGTAGGATTTTACCTTGTGTTAGGTACCATGTGTTAGCGAACACAAGTTAACACACCTTTTTTCCATGCGAAGACAAGGCCACAGGGTTTACACTAATTTTCATTGTGCTCCAAGAAGACTATTGTGGCATGTAGATGAGGAGAGAAGTAGAGATTTTTGCAGGTGAGACGGCAAGTCAGCTCCCCTGATTAACTGAACCCCAGTTATCAAGAGGTTTTGCTTAGGCCGAAGAAATTTGTATGATCAAAGTTCAGATGTGTATATACCGCAATATAACATTTATAAACCATTTGTATGCTTGATCCTTAAACTCACATATAAAAAAGCAACATATTTTATTTTAAAAATACTGGTTTAGTAATCCAAAGAGTTTATTTATTGTTGCATTTAAATAATTTATTGTTGCAATGGCCCCTCACAGAGGGCGTGTTGAGACTTTGTGGTCCTTGGCAGGAAAGTGCTATAGGAGGGCAAAATAGTTACCTGTATTTAGTGAAGTGGAGCAGTATTAAAGCAGGACAGGAAGTGGGTAGCCAGCTTTGACACTAAGCCAGCCACTTCTTACCAATATGAATCTGCCGTTAATTCTATTGACTTCAGCAGGAAGAAGATCGAGCCCTGTGTGGGCAAGAGCAACATTCTGCACAGTGAGAGAAGTGGTGGAAAGTGGCTGATGTGTAGAGAAACCAATAGGGAGCGCTTCTTAAAAATAGATGGCACGCTATGACTCGTGAGCTTCACTAGCTTATGATATTGAGCATCATCTCACAACTTAATAACTTACAAAGGGCCAAATCCTGCAGTCCTTAGTCAAAACTCCAATTGACAGTCATTCAGGTCTTTCCATGTTCTGTTGGAAAGACTCGCTTTACAAAACCCGTCCTTGTAAGGCACTTTTGGATATTTGGAATATGAAAGATATCATTGAAGTCATATTGACTTCTCTCTGTTTTGATCTTGCAGTCTTTACTCAAAGACAAAACTCCCATTGGCCCCAATGTAGGCTAATAAGTAGGGATGGCAGGAATTGGGCCAAAGTCTGTAAGTTTGGTATCCAAGGTGACTTATGTGAGTGCCTCAAGTACTATCTTGTGTCAAAAGGAAGAGTAGCAGTTTGGTGTAATAAGATGCGTGTAGCACTTTTGATACTCCATGTATCCAAAGGTGCTTTTCAAAGCCATGAGATAAATACTAAGTGGCCAGAACCCCTGCTGGTGTAAACAAGTGAAGTTCCATTGACAGTGCATTGATTGCATAGTCAGAAGAGGCATTTAGTATGCATGGAGGAAGCATGCTCGGATGGTTGAGGTACTAGGCTGAGAGTAGGAAATATAGGTTTGGTTCCCAGCTCTGCTATAGGCTACCTGTGCGACCTTGGGTTACGCAGTCTTTCTGGGCCTCAGTTCACTGTCTGTAAAACAGGAACAACAACACTTCCCTACCTAACAAGTGTGTTGTGTCAGTAAAGTCATTAGCGTTTGTGACTTGCTCAGCTACTACCAAGATGGGTGCCATATCATTACCTAGAAACAGAGAAAAATATTCATTGCACCTTCCAGATATTATATTCTAGTTTGTTGAAAGGGTGAATATTGGCCATTGGTTAGCCACTTAAGATTAAATGAAAGGAAGAATACAAAAAATCAATAATTGTGTTCATTTCATCAGTGTCCCTGAAGAAATAATAAGCAATTAGATGACACAATGTGTGGGTGATTAAAAAATAAGGAGACCGTTAATGCAAATGTAAAGAGAGGAACAAAATTCTGAATAATGGAGAAGTTTGCCCAGGTAAGTGACTTATGCAGTTCACCAAACAAAATGTAAGATAATGTGTCTTGGGGTAAGAGAACGAGATTTGGGTAAACTCAGATAGCTTGTGCAAGGATGGTTAAGTTGGTTTGGAACAGTACAAAAGAGATCTAAACAGATATTGCAGTGAACTTTAATTTGCCACACACAAAAGGTTTAGAAAGATGCTTTTCACTTCTCATTCAGGTGAAAATATGTCCCTTAGAGTTATGATGTTACACTAACTAATCTAAAGGTTACAGTCTCTTGGAAATCTGGATTTCTTCTCTTCTAGACCCACATCTAGCTCCTTCTCCCTTATAATTCCTTGCTGCTGCTTTATATTGACAGTGCCTTGTATGTCATATTTGTTAGATATGTTTGACAGCACATGTGATGCTGCCTGGTAAATGTACAAGAGTCACACTTAAAGAAGATAACATTTGCCAGCAATTACCACAAAAAGGTTTCCGGAGGTATTTATATATTTTAGGGAATCAATGTGTGATCTGATACCTCTTGCCAGTAACTGTTAGTAAACTCTGGCATTGTAATGGGGACCACTGTCTGTGATATTAAAATAATTTCTGCAGCTGAACATAAGATACAAGAGTAGGCTGATAGTTTCCAGTCCAAAACATTTAAAAATTATTGTTAACTGTGACCCAATCTAACAACCCCCGTAAGACATGTTTAACTTTAAGCATTGAGTAATCCCAATGTGGAACTTAAGTTGAAGTTAACCATGTGCTTTGTTTGATTG